TTTATTTAAAGTGCCTATGTCATAGTTTGGGAATCAGCCTATTTAGATAGTTTAGATGATTTTAAGAACTTTTGCAATATATTTTATAATTCGAAAATTTGATCTTCATGGACTTTCGGGGGCTCAAAGTTGGCGATTTTGCCTATTTTGAGCCTTTGGCCGCCAGCATAAAAGTACTGGGGCGAGAATGCCGGTGTGACGTCAAACCGGGAAGTCATCAAAACAAAATACATATGATTTACTATAGTTTCTTGACAAAATCGAGTATAAATTAGATGTTTCTGGAAATTTCTTCGATATTTTGATTGAAATTTAAATGGAACTATATCCTTAACCTTCGGTTATCCAACTGACAGGCAGATTGGGCGAGATACTAATTTTATGGCTGAGTGTGCAGGTCAAACAAACACATATACGCTGATGCTATATATTCTTTCTCGGTTTCTTGATTTTATATATACAGAAATAGAGACAAAACGGCAAGGAACTGTAGGCTGTTGTTAAACGTGATCCAGTGGAATATATTCGCTTTGCCCTCGGTTTTGTCAATGCCAGCCAGAATGGCGGAAATTATTGTGAACAAAACGCCTCGTCCACTGATCAATACAGAGTCAGAGCCAGAGGCGTTGGTTTGCTTGAATTTCGACGTCAAAATGTGTCGTATAAAATTGGCGAGAAGGTGATTAAATACGGTTTTTATGTGATTTAATACTAAAAGAGAAACTCCCAAGGCAAACTGAACTTGTTCTATTGTTACTGATAGGTATGCAAGAGAAAATTGATCTTTGAATAAAGTCGCGATTCTACTTTTGCCTGCAAAATGCATAAACAAAGAAGAATAAAATGTATTTATGGTCCTGGGTCACATTGTTTTAAATTTAGATTTTTATTCTTGAATCATACTGTAAAAATCACTTCCTTAAATAGAACAAACTTGTCTTGTCATTTTGAAAATCTTGTTCAGTTCTTTATAGCAGATGAAACTATTTCATTGCCAAATGTATTAAAACAAAGCATGTGCAAGGCAATGCCAATGGGTCAATCCAGATAATTTCCAGGGATTATACTTACATTCATATGTCATAATTTGCCAAAATGATGCATGGCTCATGAATCAATAATGTCACACCCATAACCATATATAATATCATTTTATAATTTATAAATATAATAAAATTCCTTGTTTTATTTGCATGTTTCTGCAAGCTGGCAAGTTCGGCACCTCAAATAAATTGAATATTAAATACAAAGAACAAGTGTTTCAAAATGTTTTCACATTTAATGAAAAATTTACTATAACTTTATAAAGAATAGATGTTTATGATTTTACAAATCAAATCCGTTAGGTCTTTAGGATAAAGAGTATGGTAAAGACATGCCATAGCCTAGAAACGGGCGAATCATGAAATACAATAGGCCCCTTCGCTTGCTTTGTTTACATTAGCTAGCAGACAAGGTCAAATGTCGAAAAAATACAATACTCAATGGAATATTAAAATTTTCAAAATATTATAGTTTACTATAACTAAGAAAGTGATTTTTATTATTCATGAATCAGAAATATAAAGATGTGTCATATTTAAAAAAATGTAGCCTTAGTAGTTGTATGATTTCATGAACACAATTAGAACACAATATAATAGATCTTACATTTAGGCGATTTTGCAAGACTAGCTTAATTCACGAATTTATTCAAATATCAACTTTTACAGTAATTCATGAATACATGTCAATATAATAAAACAAGTTCACTTTGCCTTCAGAGTTTCTCTTTTTAAATCATATAAAATTCGTATTACCTACTTTTTCACAAAATTGTTTACGGCAAATCCTGACGCGCCGACGCGGCTATGACGCCCAAATTCAAAGCAAACCGGCGCTTCTCAGCCGCTTCTATTGATCCCAGACGAGGTGTTTTGCCCACAATAACTTCCAATCTGGCCTGTATTTACAAAGAGAATAAATTCTTCTGCATTGGGTTTAACAACAGCCTACATTTCATTGCCGTTTTGTCCCGATATTTCTGTATATAAAATCAAGATAGATTAGCATCAGCGCATACGTGTTTGACCTACACACTCAGCCATAAAATTAGTATCTCGCCCAATCTGCCTGTCAGTTGGATAACCGAAGGTTAAGGATATAGTTCTATTTAAATTTCAATCGAAATATCGAAGAAATTTCCAGAAACATCTAATTTATACTCGATTTTATCATGATTTTATCAAGAAACTATAGCAAATCATATGTATTTTGTTTTGATCAGTTCCCGGTTTGACGTCACATCCGGCGTTTATAGGCATCTCGCCCTAGTCCTTTTACACTCACGGTTAAGCAAAAAATCGCCAACTTTGAGCCCCTGAAAGTTCATGAAGATCAAATTTTCGAATTATAAAATATATTGCAAAAGTTCTTAAAATCATCTAAACTATCTAAATAGGCTAATTCCCAAACTATGACATAGGCACTTTAATACTTGATACATCCAATTAACGCTTGTCAGTATATCCTGTTTCTCATGGATTATCTAATTAGCAGCCTGCACATGCAATATACGACACGCATACATAGTTCTTCGTTTCCCCTATACCTTTATTATTATTATCCACTCCGCACTTGGTTTCCCCTCCAAATCATCTTAGACATCAAATAAAGGTTACGTGTATACGCAGTTATGCGTTTCCTGTACGTTCGTTATTGTCCGCTCCGAACTTGATTTCCCTCTAGTGTCTAACTTTAATTAATTTACTTAGTAACTTACGCATGCACAGTTCGACATTGGCTACATCTCTCCCTTTTAAAGACACATGCATTTGATTTTCGTTCCAAACTTCCAATTTTATTTGAATTATGGAAGTCTTGAAAAAACATACAACCCTCATGCGTGCATGACATAGAGACTGCATAACATCACTGTGATAACATACAGCCATTTTGCACAGAAATTTGACACAGAAATTTGCGACACTGAAAATGTCAGTTATAACAGCACTGCTACACTTTCATGTAATGTATTTCTTTCTACATTGAAGTCTGGTATATACCTCTGCACACCAACCAACACCACCCTCGTTCAAAGGCGTCTGAGGCCCCCTTTACACGAGCCCGGGTTGACTATCAACCCGGGTTGGCTTGCCAGCCCGGGTCAACCCGTCTACGAATAAATTTCTATTAGCGTTTACACGATAGCCGGGTCAACCGTTCACACCTCGCCAACCCGGGTCACCCTTCTCGAGACCCGGGTCGACCCGGGTTGGCGAGGTGTGAACGCGTGAAAAGTTTACTCATTTCTTCATGTAAAGCCGGGTTGGCTTGACCCGGGATCATGTAAAGTGCGGGAAATTCCTGATTGTGAACTTTGCACCTAGCGTCATATCGCATTTCAACATTTTGCGTGCGTATTTTCTCCGTCTCTGTTTGGGTACAGACATATAAAATCATACAGTATGGCGAGTAAAAACTGTCCAAAGCCAAAAGAAAAAATGCACAACCCGCGTTTCAGTGGTGGTCTGAAATTATTGATCACCTAATCCTTTCTCTGAAGGATTATAAGACGGAGATGAATTATAAAAATGTAGATTTCAACTCCGATGTTGTCGCAATGTATTCAAAGTTGCGCGAAGGTCTGGCGTTGGCGTTCGATGCCGAATATTTTTGCCCAGTAGATCTTCCAGTACAAAATAACGAGGGAAAAAAGGGAAGAAAACGTCTTTAAGGCAGAATTAAGTTGCTATACGGTTAAATCCTTGATAAAAAGGGATATAATTGTATACTGAAAGATATAATAAGCGCCAAAACTAAAAGTAGTAATAATAATCGTAATAATATCGTATGAGGTCTATAAGGGATTTTAAGGGATATAAGCGCCAAAAATACACTCTGCTCCAGTCTGTTGCTCGGAATATTACTCGAGTCAGCCCGGGTTGAGAATTGCTGACCCGGGTTGGCAAAATTGTCGTCAACCCGGGTTCATGTAAACAGAATAAAAAAATAACCACCTGTGGCGTGCTGACCCGGGTTGAAAATCAACCCGGGCTCGTGTAAAGGGGGCCTGAGAGTACAGCCAGCATCAGAATTCCGTCGGCACGGAGAAAATAATGCCTTTGGCATTGCCGCCTACTCGTTATATGCATGGGGATAACTGAACCGTGTATTTAAAAATTCTTATTTACAAAGCTCTCCGCCAGCACAGGAGTCCTTGGCCAATTTCATTCCCGGGCCAGTTTGTGTACGATGTTGATTATTAAAAACATTGATTTCTGTCGGTCAGTAATTTCATGTTTATTGTAAGCACGAACTGTTAACCTAACCCTCACACTGGATACAAAAATGTATTATTGATTTCGCATGTGTAGGTGGCGAAATGATTTATTCTTAAGTCTTTCATTTGCTTTCAGTGCCTTTTTTAAGGAATTTTCACTGGGGGGAAACAGGAAAAAAGGCAGAACGAAAAATATGAGCCGTTGAGGTTTGGCTAACGCGCGAATCTGAAGAGAGATTTTGTAAAACTTTAATTTATTAACTTCAGCTATATTTTACTTTAAACAATAATTTCAACCCTTTGTAACTATAATCGTACAGCTATAACCAGTGGCGTAGCCAGATCTTGATTTTTTTGGGGGGCGAACCTCACGCCGATGGCGTGAGACCATCTAGGAGGGCCCGGGGGCATGCACCCCCGGGAAATTTTGAAATCTAGGGTCCCTGAATTGCGATTTCAAGCATTTTGAAGGTGAAATCTAGCAGAATTCCGAAGATTATAAAGTACGTCGAAGACATGAATTTTTCCAGACATTTCTACTCGGAATTAAATAAATTGGAAAAGTCACCTTATTTCCTTACCACCGAAAATAGGAGGAGGGGTCAGTGTCACCTTATTTCCTCTCTGTGATGCTGGGGGAGGGGGAGAAAATCCCAATGTGATTTTGATCAGAAATGTTGCATTTAAATCATTTTAGGTTCTATAAGCTAGACACCATTTCCGCATTCTCAAAATTGAGTTGCTTTTTCATACGATACAGAATAAGTCTGAGTAGAAATTTATTCTTCTTGGAACCATCATCTACAACTGCTTTAACGAGATTTTACAAATCAAGTTCCTCCAGTACATCGTCTTTTTCCTCAGTCGAGACGTACTTAATCAGTTTCAGCTTCGAGCATGTAACGTGTACCCCCTCCCCCCCCCCCACCCCAATTTCTCTATGGATTTAGCCTTTCTGAGAGAATGGTTTTTGTGGCGATTGGGGGGGGGGGGCTCTTAATATAACTTGATATTTTTAAGAAGAAAAAAAATTGCAATAAAACCTCCCAAAACAAAACACAACGCCTCTGCGGAGGAGAGTGCTAGGAAATAGTCGCAAGGCTTGGAAAGTCTAGCATTTGATCGGATTGTTTGCATGAAATCTATCGCTATTATGCCGGAAATACTCGGTGAAGAACAATATGAATTACACACAAGATGGCTGTGGAGGAGGCTATGGAAGGGCATAATATAAATCAACTGCAATTCTGCATGATAGCAATCATGAGCATTTTTGCTTCGCACTTCGGGGGCAGAAATGGCTTTACTGGGGGGGGCGGGGGGAATTCTTTCCCTTGGGGGGGCAATTTCCCCCCCCGCCGGATATATAGTTAAAAAAGGCACTGTTTGCTTTACACGTCTATATTATCTAAGTTTCCTCACCGGAATTTTGACATTCCGGATATTTGACCATGACCACATATTGACGTACTTTGTATGATTTTGTTTTGAGTAATTAAATCAGTTTTGTTTTCCGATTTGACTGACGAGAAAGTTCGTGTTTGAACTAGATTTTGAAAGGGTTGTATCTTACAAGATTAATCAATGTTGTGCATGTTCAAATTAAGTAGTAACATTGAAAATTACTTTATTAAAGTTAATATCCTTTACTACAAAATTGACCGGTAAAATCTAAGCCAGTATATAGAAATTTTGTTCAACTTGTCAACTTGACGTACTGGCATAGAGAACTGATATGCGGATACACTGAAACAAGGTTCTAGTAGAAATTAAAAATGTTTGTTCCAGCAAAACCGGCCGGCAAAGCTGGTCATGGGATTGCCGAAATCGAGTGATCTGGGCCAGCGTATATAGGTAGAGACAAAAACATCAGAAAATTGAGATTGATAGGGATTCAACTATATAGTTGATCATGAATCCCTATATCAATATCCATCTCGATGTTATAGGATTAGATCAATCGCGACCTGACGTTTTAAGCTGACGGGCCGCGCGTACGCATACAGAGATTGTTTATCAGCATAAGTAAAGGAAGTCAGTAAATGCTATGTTAATTGTATACTTGTGTTATTGTGTATAGCTCTTGTAAAGCTCAGGGCAAACTAGGAAACATTGTTGTGGAAATATTTGTGATTCTCGATGTTTCCTCAAATGTTTCCCTGTTTGGCCACCCGTGGAAACATTGCGGTTGCGGAAATAAAATTTGCTTCCCGAGAAGCCGAAAAATGTTTCCTAGCGAATTCAGAAACATTTGAAGTTTCCCCAGGTTTCTCACTAATGTTTCCTAGTGTTTGCCCACTCTTGGAAACATGGCGAAATATTGGTTGGAAACAATGTTTCCTGAGTTTGGCCAGGGCTTAACGTCACGTGTGGTGTAACGTGTGTGTAAGTGTAACGTGTCTAGTCAGTACGCAAAAAGATTGATATTTTGCGCATGTGCGACCAGATTTGCTTGCGCTCATTTCACATAATCCCAAAATCATATAAGTTTGCAATAAATTATAGTTTAATTTTACGGTCAGTAACTCCGTATATCAACATAAATAAAAATAGGTACACTACGCGTACATGAATGATGAATCTACGAATAGCAATAAATCGTTGTCCCACCCTACTCTGTAGTCAATCGACAACTTTAAAAAGTGAATGCCGCCAAGCACGAGCTAGACTAGAATATAATTAGAAAATAATATATGTGTATATAAACAGTCATTGATATACCGGTAATTTGCGCTAAAATGATTATTCCAGATTGATATACCGCGGGTAATTTGCTCTAAAATGGTTATTCCAGATTAAAATATTTACAGATCTAATTGTAGGACCATACTTAGTTCCATAGTTAAACAAACTCATTGTAGTAAAAACTCACAGTGACTGTGTCTTATGCGTGCACAATCCGAACGTGTTTCTCGCGTGACGAATTCATACACGCCATAATGTACACACCATTACTGTGAAATATTCGACATGAGCGCAGACTTCATATCGATCGGATCGTATTACATTTCGGAATCGTTGATTAGCTAAGTTAACAGTGAACAGCTAACAGTTAATACGTCGATAGCATATAATCTACTTCGTAGATTCAAAAAGCCTGATTTGGGTTTAAAATATAGTTAGTATGTCAATTTTTCCAATTAAAATTGTATGAAAGTAAGCTAAAGTAGGTCAGAACGATGCGTTATTAACGAACTTAAAGGAAAT